TTTAGCTACGTGGCCTGCTTTCCTTCTGTTACAATCACCTGTGTGGATCTGAGTCCTCAGACTAACTTTTTAAGGTCAGAGACAATGTCTCATTTCTGTCTGTGTAACCCTGGCTAATCTAGGTGCTCCCCTGGGTTCAGTCTCTGCCTAGTGTCTCATTGAGTGGGCATCTCTCAAAGAACATTCGGGCCTACAATGTCAGGAAGCGTGGCAGTGCTTCCTCAAAGCCCTTCTTCCACTCCCCAAACTGTCTTATATCCATAGAGTCTCTGCAACAAAACCCCAATCTCCTTCTCTAGTCCCAGCCCCAAGGCCTTTCATTTCCCTCTGCCCTCTTGCTTTCTCTTTCCTAGCTCTTTAGGTAGACCACCTTAGCCTCTCCAGCTATGATCTCTCTCCCTATTCTCCTTATTTATTGCAGAATGGAATTTTCTTTAGTAGGTAGGGAAGACTTTTGCATACTAATATATTTTGCCCCTTCATACGTGTATGTACTACAAAATACCTAGGTCTCGTAGACTTGAAAAATGCTCATGAGTGAATAAATGATCAGGGTAACCAGACCACATGCATAATTAAGACTGAACAATCTACTTTTCTCTATCCTCCTACTTCTCCCTAGACCAAACCACCGTAATTGGTTGCCTGGCCTCTCTACAGCCTTCAAAATGGTATTCGTACTCTGTATTTTGCACTCCTAGAGACCATTTTCCACATAGTAGGCAGAGTGATTGTTCAAAATGTACCTAATGGCCGGGTGTGGTGGTTCACACCTGTAATCCCAACACTTTGGGAGGTCGTGGTGGGCGGATCACTTGAGGTCAGGAGTTTGAGACCAGCCTGGCCAACATGGTGAAACCCCATCTCTACTAAAAATACAAAATTTGCCAGTTGTGGTGGCAGGCACCTGTAGTCCCAGCTACGCAGGAGGGTGAGGCACAAGACTCACTTGAACCCAAGAGGCAGAGGTTGCAGTGAGTGGTGATTGCGCCACTGCACCCCAGTGTGAGTGACAGAGCGAGACTCTGTCTCAAAAACAAAAAAAATGTGCCTAGTGTCATTTCATTCCCCTGTTTGAAACTCTGCAATGGCTTACCTCATATTATAACAAAATTTGAACTTCTTATCCTGACTTGCAAAGCTCTTTATGGTCTGGCCCCTGCCTACTTCCAACATCACACCCCGTATCCCCACTCCCTGCCCATCATGCTCCAGCCACCCTGGGGTTCCTTGTGCTCTTATCCCTGATCTTCACATGAATGACTCCTTGTCCTTCAAACTTTACCATCAATGTCATTTCCATAGAGACACCATCCACAATCTCCTGACCTACAGTACCTTCCCTCCAATGCTATCTCTTTACCTTTCCTTATTTTCTGTTCTTGTTTCCTATTGCTGCATAATAAACTGCCTCAAAACAATTTGTTATTATCATATTTTATGATTCTGTGTGTCAAGGAAATCAAACAGGGCATAGTAGATATAGCTCATCTTTGCTCAATAAAATCTGGAGCATCTGGTAAGATGACTGTATTGGCTGGGGGCTGGAATAGCTTGGGGTTGACTGAGCACTTCTCTCTCTTTCTCTTTCTCTCTCTCTTTCCACATCTCTATATGGCTGCTTGAGATTGAGCTTCCTTCCAACATGGTGGCCCCAGGGTAGTTGGACTTCTTACATGATAGCACAGGGTTCCAACAGACCAAGGCAGAAGCTGCCAGTCCTCTTGAAAGCTAGGCTTGAAACAAGTATAGGGTCTCTTCTGATCAAAGCAGACCCAGGCCAATTCAGATTCAAAGCGAGGGAAGAGACCTCACCTCTCAAGAGGCAGAGTATAAAATAATTCAAGACCATCTCTAATAAGCCAGAACACATTTTGGCAGCAAGACATTTTCCTATGAATGCATTTGTTGATATGCTTATTGAGAAGACTATAGGGTACAAACAAACCAATCTTTTTCCCCTTCCATCACTGACTGCATCTAGATAAACTACGTTAGTTCTCCTTTTCCCGTCCCGTAACAGTGTCTTGGGCAGATCTTCTACTGGTCCTGTCACTTTAGATTATTAAAGGCCTAGCCCCATCTAGGCTGGTCCATCTTACTGAAGACTAACCTTTTCCCTCCCGCAGGCAGGGCCTGGATTTGGCCCAGGGGAGTGGGGAGGAGTGTAGTTTGCCCTTGTACCCTCCCTTCTGTCTGTCTGTCTGTCTCTCTCTCTCTCTCCCTCTCTCCTCTTACTCCTCATTTCTCTCCCCTTTTCTTTCACGCAGATGGGGAGGGAGAGCTTTCAGGAAAGTCCCTGTCAGTTGTGGCCATTTCTTCTCTGGCTATGAATGTGCCTGGTATGATGGCATCCAGATGCTAGCTCTCTTGTGGGTTCACCACAGGGCCACCCCGCACCACTGTTCCCTGATGTGAGAGGTCCCTTCAGCTCTATACCTGTCACCCCCTACTCAGCCACTGCCCCAACCTCCACCCCACAGCCTATCGACTGTGGGTCTGCACACCTGCAGGCCTCCCTCTTGGGAGGACATGGACAAGACAGCTCAAGGACACTCCCTTTCTGCCACATCCACCTGACCCATGGGCAACGATCACTGGGTGACCCAAGAAGTACCTGCCCATCCATCTGTGCCTCTTGAATCCTGCCCTCTCCCAACCTCCCTGCCCAGACAGCACATGAACTGATCTCAACAGCAAATCCAGCTCCAGGGAAAGGAGAGGAGGGAGCCAGCACCTCAGGACTCCAGCGATCCCATCTCCCTCTCTCTTCCTTCCCCTTTCCTGGTCTTCTGCTTATGGAGACTGAAGAAGGGGGTGCTGGGAGATTTGGGGGCATAGCAGAATTGCTTCAACCATCTCTTAATAAATCCTGTAGGCAACTGTGCACAGTCCCAAATGGATCCTTTGTTTTAGAATATGGGGTATTCAGGGCCCTTTTTCCTTAGCTCTGAGTCTGGCCACCAATTTGAGCAGCAGAAAAGGCCCAGCCAGCACCCTTTGGCACTTGAGCATGGACTGTCTCTCCTCTTGCATGTGGGGTCCACGAGGGCGGGGTCCTGTGTGTTTGTCCCCACTGGATCATCAATGCCTAGTCAGTGTCTAGGACATAGAGGGTGCTCCACAGATAGATGACAAGCAAATGGAAAGGGCCCTTTAGGACCTAAATGGCTGAAACAGCTGCCAAAACAGCCAAGTGGGCCAGCTGGCTCCTTCCTACCTGTTCCTGCTGTGAGGCCCATGCTCATGGATGTGGAGTTTTACTTCTGCCTCCAGGAGCTTTTCTGGTTTCTGTCTTGCTCTCTACAGGGGTCACTGGCCTGAGGTGAGAGGCTGCCCACCATGTGGGTGACCTCATGAAGCCAAAAGCCTTGAAAATGCTACCAGGCCTGGGTTGGTGTCTTCAGGGCTGAGCTAGAGGCCTGGGCAATGGGAGGGTATGGGTGTTCTCAGCTCACAGTGGGTCAAAGGCAATGGCTCAGAACAGCTGCAGCCAAAGAGGAAAAGCAGGAGAAGTGCATTTCTTTGGTGAAGTATGTCTCCTGGGGCTGCCCCACACCCATCTGTGACCACAGCCAGAAGCACACTCTGACCAGTGTGTCCTGCAGGCGCCCCAAGCCTCAGTGATCAGGGCACTAAGGACAGCTACCTCAGCAGGGCCACCCCAGTCCGCTGGACATCCCCGGTTCCCCTCCAAGCCCCAGGCAGGCCCCTGTCCCCCTGGGTCCCTGTGGGTTTCTCCTGAGCAGCTTCAAATGCGAAAGTGAGGCTGAGGAGAGAATGGAGGAACTTCTCTTCCCTCAATACATACAATATCAAAGACACACACACACACACACAGACACACCCACACATACCCACCCCTTGCAGGTCAGAAGCAGATGGGAGTTTGGTAAATGGTTTGGATTAAAAAAAATAGGCCTGGCATAGTGGCTCATACCTGTCATCCCAGCACTTTGGGAGGCTGAGGAGGGCAGATCACAAAGTCAGGAGTTCAAGACCAGCCTGGCCAACATGGTAAAACCCCGACTCTACTAAAAATACAAAAATTAGCCAGGTGTGGTGGTGGGTGTTTGTAATCCCAGCTACTCAGGAGGCTGATGCAGAAGAATAGCTTGAATCTGGGAGGTGGAGGTTGCAGTGAGCTGAGATTGTGCCACTGCATTCCAACCTGGGCGACAGAACAAGACTCTGTTTCAAGAAAATATATTAAAAAAAAAAGGAAGATTTTTTTTTTTTCATGCCAATGCACTGGGGAGGAAGACAGAAGGAACTGGGAGTAAAAGGCAGAGAAATCAGGGCAGCATCTGCTGGTCCCTTTGTCCATGTGGCGGCCCAAGCAGGCTGGAGATGCTGCCATACAGCACCCTGAGACACAGCCAGGATGTCTCCCAGGAGGGCTGGAGGAGTTTCACTCTTGGTGCTGTTAAAAAGTGGCCTCTCCTCAACTTTGGAACCAAAACTACATCTTGGGAGCTCCTCGTTAGAGGAGGGGTGACCCCAGGGTACTGTAGGAGCAGGCTGGACAACCCCCAGGGCAGCCTTGAAGTGGCCTCTATGGGAACAGTCTCGATGACCACCCAGGGCCACTGAGACTTGAGCCTGCGCCCCACTAGAAATGTGCAAAGACAGAAGAGCCATCTAGCCAGGCTCCTCAGGTCAGAGATGAAACGTGGAGGCAGAGGGAAGCCCAGTGTCACTCGGTGAGTTACAAAGCTAGGCCTCTGACCTTCTGTGCTATTGACTCTCCATCAGCCATTTTACCTTCTTGGGCCTCAGTGTCCTCAACTGTCAAAAGGAGGAAGGAAAGAGAAAGCTAACATGTTGTCATGAGCTGTGACATGCCGTCTCGTCGCCAGAGCAAGGCTTTTGAGATAAGGAAACTGAGCCTCTGCAAAGGTGCTATGCTCTTCCTGTTAAGCCCCCATCCCTGGGTTTGCCCTGCTTCTGTTTCTAGCCGACACTCACCACCTGGGAAGACACACCCCCCCAGATCAGCCTTTTCCACACTAGAATACTTTATTCAAGAGAATCTGGCTTGGCAGTCAGATGGCCCTGCAGGGGCAGCTTGTGGGAGTGCCAGGACCCTCGGGGAACCTGCTCCCTGCCACTGCCTTCAGCTGGGACACACAGGCTCCTCCCTTGATGACCTCATCCCCATTGGCTGGGCTGCTCCTCATCTAGGCAGCTCTTTGTACGACCCGGGGCCCACTCTGCACATGTCTCTCTTTTTTATTTTTTTGAGACGGAGTTTCGCTCTTATTGCCTAGGCTGGAGTGCGATGGTGTAATCTTGGCTCACCTTGAGCTCTGCCTCCCGGGTTCAAGCGATTCTCCTGCCTCAGCCTCCCAAGTAGCTGGGATTATAGGCACACACCACCACGCCTGGCTAATTTTTTGTATTTTTAGTAGAGACAGGGTTTCTCCACGTTGGTCAGGCTGGTCTCGAACTCCTGACCTATTGATCTATCCGTCTCAGCCTCCCAAAGTGCTGGGATTACAGGTGTGATCCACTGCGCCCAGCCTTGCACACGTCTCTTAGAGGGGGCAGGATGGTGGTACCTTGTCCGGAAAGAACAATGTCCCAGCACAAGCAGGTGTCAAAGTGCGAGGGGAGATCACAGGGGACAAGGAGTGGCAAAAGCCCCCGGGCAACCATGGTTCTCCAGAGCTGAATGTTCCAATCTTTAGAGTGAAGAGCTACTGCCAAGAAGAGGGGGAAGTAGATGGATCCCCTCTGCCCAATGCCCACTTTCCCACCAGCCAGGCGGTGGTGGCCCCAGCAGGCTCCTCATCCCTTCTTTGGACAGGAGCTCTGAAAGCAAAGGTTGCTTGTCTGTGTAGAGCCCGAAGCCCAAGAACAGGCAGCAGGGCCCCATTCTCTCCTTCTCCAGGCCCCTGGAGACCCCCAGGGCCTCTGGGGCCTAGCTTGCCCATCACACGGCAACATGTCTTGCTTCTTCCCAAGTGGAAGCTCCCAAGGGTCTGTGGCTGGCTTCTCTCTTTCTCTCATGTTGTTGAAGGCACTGAATTCCTGAGGGTCCTGTTCCTCCCTGCCCCTCATCTTGGAGGGAGCGAGGCATTCAGCAGGAAAACAGCTGGCTAATAAATAGAGGGCAGGTACCAGCAGGAGGTCACTGGGAGTGTGACGATAATAAATACACGAGCCGGGTACAGGGTCTCTCTCCTCCAACGGGCCGGTTACCTCCGGGGAACAGCGTCACCGCACCTGCCAGAGACCAAACACAGACAGGCGGGCATCAGCACGCTGTGGGGGGCATGGTCTCCTCCCTTGGAGGAGGGGGCAGGCCTGGAGGAGGAGCTGGACAGGGAGCACGGGGAGGGTGCAGCACTCCTGGGTCCCTGCTTGCCTCAAGTTGAGCAGAAGCTGGGAGCTACCCTTCACCAAGCACTTACCCAGGTGCCCAGCCCTGCGCCAAGCACCATCTTCTTAACCCTCAACAACCTTCCATGAGGCAAGGACCCTGATTATTCTTTTGAAGATAAAGAAACTGAGGCCCAGAGAGGTGAAGAAGCTTGCCTATGGCCACATGGCCAGTCGGTGACAGAGCCACATTTGAACCTCAACATGCTTCAGGCAATCATGCCTCCAATTACCCTAAGACAGCAGTCTTGAAACAGGGGAGCAGGTTCCGCTAGATGCACGTGAAGACTGAGTATTGACAGATTTAAAGAAATCCATTTTCAGCCTCCAGGTCTACATTGCCTTAAAATCATTTTTGTGAGACAGTGGCTGAGATCTGCTTCTCTGGCCACAATGCTTTTCTCCTTTTTTTTTGAGACAGAGTCTTGCTCCATCACCCAGGCTAGAGCACAGCGCCGCAATCTCACTACAACCTCTGCTTCCTGGGTTCAAGCACTTTTCCTGTCTCAGCTTCCTGAGTAGCTAGGATTGCCAGCATACGCCACCACACCAGGCTAATTTTTATGTTTTTGGTAGAGATGGTGTTTCACCTTCTTGGCCAGGCTGGTCTTGAACTCCTGACCTCAGGTGATCTACCCACCTCGGCCTCCCAAAGTGCTGGGATTACAGGCGTGAGCCACTGCACCTGGCCACTTTTCTCCCTTTTGAAAGAAACGTATCTTGCTCATTCTAAATCCTCATAAAGTGCTTTGCTGCCAGGTAAAAGTATTCTGGGGACATGAAAAAAAGGACAATTTGAGATATTGGTATAGGTCTTAAGAAAGAAAATATGGCTAATGACTGGGTAACCAAGGCTTTCAACAAAATTGAAGAACAACTTAAAAGAGTTGTCAGCCAGGATATCGTGAGTAGTAACTCTTTCTTAGCAGAGCACCTTGAGATTTCTGGCAAATCATTTGGAAGGAGTTCAAGTCACTGGGTGACATCTAGTCTCATTTACTTATTTATGTGAACATGGTTTCTCAACCTTCTCATCAATAAAAAATGATAAACAGGAATGAAATGAATGCAGAATCCGGTCTCAGTCTGGCAGGAAGTAACATTCATTAATGGATTCATTCACTAATTGAAATGAGCGTGTCACATCTATCTGGTTGAGATGCATTCCAAATAAAACTATAGTACTTTTATGTTGACCATTTATTAAAATAGGACATATTTGTGCTGCTTTAACCAAGTGGTGCTACTAAGAATTATCTTGATAATTTATTCCAGGAGAAAATTTAATTTAGGTTTGTACTCACAGGAAATTTGAAATGATTCAAACTCATATATCATGTTTTGTGGCAGATAAATATGACAAGGGAATCAGTAAAAGACTCCTGAAAATTAAAAGTGCTGTTGCACTAGGCTGAATTCTGGGGGGGCAGGGAGTGAAATGGAAATGTAAGCTCCAGGAAGAACGAAACAATGTAAATATATAATTATGAAAGGAGCTGAATTCTTTTTTCTGGTTCAGTTTTTTCAAGCAGATGATGGTGAGTAATAGTATGGCATATTTCAGAGGATACAATCTCAAGAGTGTATTACATAATAGCTTCATATTAAAATATCAGTATTTCTAATATGCCAGAAATTATATCCTTTGTAATGACTTGTACTTTTTTTTTTGTTTGTTTAAGACAGAGTCTCGCTCTGTCACCCAGGCTGAAGTGCAGTGGTTCGATCTTGGCTCACTGCAGCCTTGACCTCCCAGGCTCAGGTGATCCTCCCATCTCAGCCTCCTGAGTAGTTGGGACTATAGGCACACAGGGCCATGTCCAGCTAGTTTTTGTATTTATTTGTAGAGACGAGGTTTCACCATGTTGCCCAGGCTGGTCTCAAACTCCTGGCCTCAATCACCTTGGCCTGCCAAAATGCTGGGATTACATGCATCAGCTGCTGAGCCTGGGTTGACTTATAATTCTGATGAAAATGTTCAATGTCAACTTAAAAACGTGCAAGGGAGCACATGGGCTTTTGGAATTCTTCTTTTTTTTTTTTTTTTTTTGAGATGGAGTCTCCCTCTGTTGCTCGGGCTGGAGTGCAATGGCGTGATCTCGGCTCACTACAACGTTCGCCTCCCAGGTTCAAGAGATTTTTCTGCCTCAGCCTTCCATGTAGCTGGGATTAGAGGCAGGGGGCCACTACGCCTGGCTAATTTTGTAGTTTTAGTAGAGATGGGGTTGCACCATGTTTGTCAGACTGGTCTTGAACTCCTGACCTCAAGTGATCCACCTACCTGGGCCTCCCAAAGTGTTGGGATTACAGGCGTGAGCCACCACGCCTGGCCACTTTTGAAATTCTTTCAGGAGATTCCCAAGTGAAATGTCTGAAGACCACTGCTTTGGGAAATGGAGCTATAGGACACTTTCTGCCTCAGCTGCTGGCTGGTAATGCGGCCCTGAATGGACTTCACTGCCAGCTCCTGCCCCAAATTGCTACATGGGCCAAAAGAAGAGATATGGGCATAAACCCTAGGGGGCCACATTCCGCAGGATTCTCCATGGAGTGGGGCTCATGGGGTCAGGACTTGCGTCATCTCCCCTCCACGGCACAAAATGACTTCCTGGAGTCGTGTGCGAGGAGGAGACGCAGCCCCTGAAGGAGGGCACTGTGTGACTGCTTTACTGTGCATGTGAAATACTTTCTTTTTTCTATTTACACTCACAGATTTGGGTTTTCCCTCCTCTAATCCTTCTCTCCCAGCCACACTCAGGCCTGGGGCTCTAGTCTGCTGCCCATCAGGTACCAAGGAGGTTAGAAGAAGCAGGAGGACCCGAAGGCAAAAATATTGGCCTGGGAGCCAGTGGCGAGGGGCACATGTTCCCCAGGGCTGCTAGGAAGTGACCCCAGATAACAGCGCAGCTGATGACAGACTTTTCATCACTAGAAGGTAAACACTAAAGTGCAGGAACTCTGTTTGCTCACAGAGGTACTTGGCGCACAGTAAGTGCTCGGTAAATGTTTGTAGAGTGACTGAATGTTTGCTAGACCTCCTGCCCTTCATCTGACACAGAGAAAAGCTAGGCTGAGAAAGGTGAAGTGGTTCATTCAAGGTCAATGGAAACCTAGGGCTAAGCCGGGACAAAAACCAAGGTCCTGATGCTTCCGGGGCCCTAGAGTCTTGAGAAGGCGTGGCTCCTGTTCTGCTCCCAAGACTGGCCTCAGTCCTGCCTCTCCCCCTCCCTGACCTAACCCTGGCAGCAGGGCGGGGCTCCCCTTGGGCCCAGCCTCCTTGCCATCCCTGGGACCCCGCGCACTCACAGGTGGCAGTCTTTGGGTCTCTGCTTCTCTCTCCTCCTCTTCCCCCTGCCCTTGGGTCTCCTCCTGCAATAAGCCAAAAGCGTCAGGACAAGGTGGCTGGGGGCCCCCATGCTAGGACGGAGGCTGGCAGGCCCGAGAGAGCCCCGAGCCCCAGCTAAGCCACTTACCTTTCTGGCTTCATCTTCTCCCGCAGAGGCCTAGGGAAACAGACAGACAGAGGGGCAGAGGATCGTTAGGAAAGCAGTAAGTGGGGCTCCCTGCCTCCCAGACCTGTCCCCTCCAACATCCTGAGTCCTGGTCCTGCAGCTGACACTGACACCACTAGGGGGTAGCATGGAGCTGGCAAGGGAGAGGTGGCGAGAGCCTCCGGGCTTGGCTCCCACTCCAGTCATGAGAGGGACAAATCAACCTCCTGGGGACCCCTGCCACTCGCTTCTGCACTCCTCAGCCTTTTGACATCAAATCTGGGGTCGTTTCTATCTGTTCTCTGCTGCTTTTCCTTTCTCACTTTTTCCGCTTTTCCCCCTTTCTTCCAGGGTGCATTCTGGGAATTTCCTCAAGGATTAGAGATGATGGCAAGGCAATGGACTGGCTGCCTGTCGGGGCACAGCGCCGTCCCCCCCACACCCACCCCAGCCCAGAACAACACGGGGAGTGAGCCACAGGGTCGGAGGTGGGGAGGGAGCATCAGCCCTGAAGTCACCAGGCATGTCCGGTCTCTGCCTCCCAGGGCTGTGGCTGTTGCCTGGCCACAATCTCCCCCTGGGGAACAGAGGGTGGAGGCACGAGGCAGCTTGGTACCAGTCAGCTTTGGGACCAGGGCATGCTGCCCTCGGCTGCTTCCTCCCTTGGGAGCCAGGGCAAGGTACCAGGGCCTCTGGGGACTGTGTGGTTATACCTCTCCATATTGGGCAAGTAAGGTTCCACACTCTTGGAACCTCAGTCTCTTCATCTGCCTGTCCCCAGAGAGTGGCTGTCAGAGCAAAGGGGATGTAGAAGGTAGCTTTGGGTCACTACCCAGCATTGTGCCCAAGAGGGTTCATTACCAAGCTACTGTTATATGGCTAAGCTCTGGCTTGGAAGGAGGGGGAGGAAACAGGCTGAGGCAGGGCCCCCAACACTGTCATGGTGAAGAAAGGCTAGACCCTGGGCTCAGCCCTGCCCAGGAGCCAAGCCAAGCCTGGGGGCTATTAGAGAGCGTGGTCTCGGCCATGAGAGGTAACCTGAAAAACGAAGGCTTAGGAGCTAGGTCAGGGCTCAGAATCCCTCCTCCCACACTCACTAGCTGTGGTCAGTCATGAAACTATTGAGCCTTGATTTTCTCATCTATAAAATGGGTAGATGACAATAGCATCTACCTCCTAGGGTTGTTAGGAGAGCAGGGACCTTGCTCACCCCTGCATCCCAAGCATCTAAGACAGTGCCTGGCATGCACTAGGTACTCAATAAAAGTATGTGACTAAATGAGAAACATTCAAGTGGCTCCTGTGGGCCTAGGCACAGAACAGTACGTGGTGGTCTTCCCTCCTCCCGCCCTGGCTAGGGTTCTGGACTTCTAGTCTGGTGCCTTCATCCATGGCCCAGTGGTGCCAGGAGCAGTGGCTCAGCCCATTCCTCTCTTCCCTGAACCTGGTTGGCAGTGCCAGGCCTGTTGTTCCTGCTAACCAATGTTCCAAGTGCCCTGGGCATAAGGCAGCAAAACTGGTGCTAGTCAGAAGCTCTGTGGACTGGGAGGGGGTGTAGTGGGAATGCTGCGACATCAAGGAAATCGCAGCCACCCTTCATCCGCCCATTTTCTACCCGAGCTTGTCCTTCTTGCTGCTTCTCAGCCCAGTTTGCCCCCTCCTGTGTGAGCACAGCTTAGCCCAGAACTAAGTCCAGACTTGCAATGTCTCTGCCTCCAGGCACTTCTTCCAGAGGCCCGTGGCAGCTGCCTGTCATCCCCAGGGAAGGGGAATGACATGCACTGAACCCCTGTGAGTCTGGGAGGGATCCACACTCTCTCTTCCCTTGCCGTATCTCAGCAGCTGTACCCCAGCTGCTGGGACCACCTCCCTTGGCAAAATTGGCTGGTGGGGGTGCAAAATGACTGGCAGCCACCTCTGGTCCTGCTCTCTTGGTCTCCCTCAGCCTGGAAAAAAGTGCAGCCTGCAGTAGGGATAGGCGGCCTTTGCCTCTGCCCTGGGACCCATCTTTGCTGAGGCTGCCAAGGGCATGGGAGCCTTTCCCTGCTACCCGCCCCAACCCCGAGACCTACCGGCACTCGCAGCCCACGTGCTGAGAGAACGCCAGCTCCACGTAAGACGGCCGGTCCCCAGAGCTGATCTTTAGGAGCTGAAGGAAGAAAGAGTTGACGCCTGGACTGGGGAGTTTCCGGCACTCTTCTCTCTCTCTTTATAAGGAGAACCTGACTGTTTCCTGCTAACCTGTGGACTACGGCCCTCACTCCACTCTGAGCATGGGGCAAACAGCTCTCCCACCTGCATGGGGATCTGAGGGAGGCCCCTCCCTATGCAGGAGAAACTAGCACAGCGATAGCACAGGAAGGGGGCCTGTGTTCTGGAGTCAGAGAGACCCATGTTTAGATCTTGACTCCTTTGCCCGCTGAACAAGTGAAATAACATCTCTGAACCTTGAGTTCCGCATCTGTGAAATGGGAATGATGCCCGCCTTGAAGGACTGAATGACATACCACTTGTGGTATGCCTAGGACAGTGCTTGGCATTACCCAGTAAGTGCTCAATAAAACCACTGTGTGTGTGACATGTTAATTGCGCTTGCTTGGAAAGGCACCAAACGCTCCTGGTGTAAACGGGAACTTTAATCTAGGCAGATTTGTTTCCAGCTTTAACTAGACACCCCAAGTCTTGGGATAGGGCTCAGCGTGAGGCTGAGAAAGCTGGTGGGGGTAGAGGTGAGTGGGCTCGGAGCCATCGGGGGTTCGGGGTCTGGGGTAGTAGGAGCACTGGCCTGGGAATCAGGCTCCAGTCCTGGGACCTTGGCCTCTCTCCTTCCCTCTCCAGGTCCCTTCCAGGGGCAGATTCAGTGGCTTCCTGGGCAGGGTGTGGACCTACCTGCATGGTGACATTGACTGTCTCCACTGGCACACAGTGCAGGTTCTCATCACCACAGCAGCCGGTGCAGCGCAGCAGGGAGACGCAGGATGGGCTGAACATGTGCTCCACCTCACTGGGGTACTCGGACACAATGTCCACCAGCCTCTCCAGCGCCCGGCAGTAGCTGCGGCCCCACACTTCCTGGAAGGGCACCACTGCGAGGAGGCAGGGAGGCTGGGTCAGACCAGCAGGGACCTGCCCCTTGAAGCCCCAGACTTGGCTCCCCAGGCCCTGCTGGCCTTCCAGGTTCAGCCCCTAGCCCCATCCGAGTTCCCTCGACTCTGAACTTCTGATGTGATCCCTCCAGAATGCCTGTGGGCCACTCAGCTCATCTGCGGGATGGAAATCCCCATGGAACAGAGTCTCTCAAGGCCCAAGCTCTGCTCTGTCCTCAGCTCAGGCACCCATATCCGCTTTGGCTCCCTGGAGCTTCAAGGATTGTACCCCCGGAAGCTGCCCAGGCCCTCTCAATCTCTCAAGCCCCACTCGGTAATTCCTCCGCCTTGGAGAACTTGCAGGAAACAGTGATTCCTGGAGTCATGCAGGGAGGGTTGGCCTTCCCTATTCCTTTGCTCAAACACCTTCCATGGCTCCCTCATTTCCTGCCCCACTCTGCCAGCTCCTCTGCCTGGTGACCAAGACCACATCCAGCACTGGCCCGACCCTCCTCTCCATTTAGTCCAAGTGGGGCTCACACTGAGACAGGGCAGCACCACATCCGTTCCCAGCTCTGGGCTTGTGCACTCTGCAGTCCCTACAGCTGCTGTTCTTTCCCCTCCTCTCATTTCTATCCAGAAAAGCCCACCCTCCATTTTCCAAGGCCCCTCCACCTCCTCTCTGAAGCCTTCCCCAGCTGTTTCAGTGTGCACAGATGAGCCTCATTTGAGCACCACTTGGCCCCGAGGGGTTGCCTTATCTCCCTCTTTGGTGGCTCTTATCTCCTTTACAACCAGCTCGAGGCTCTATGAGGACAGAGATGGATGCTCCCGTAAACACAGGCTAAGTCATTCCTGGTTCATTAGATGACAATTCACTGACGGTCACCCGGGACATCCCTGACCCCCATGATGTCCTGGCGATTGTGAAGAGGATCTTTTGGGGGCTGATCTCGAATCCCTCAAAAGATGCTGCTCTTTCAGGGGAAGGCCTGGGGTCAAGCCCCAAATAGAGGCCCACAGGGAGAGTGGCCAGAGTCAGAGACCTGGCTTCCAGTCCCGGCCCTACACTGGCTGTGTGATCTTGGGGAGATCACTTAACCTTTCTGGGTAGATGAGTTTCCTCGGCTGGGGAAAAAGAAGGTTGGGAATAAATGGTTGCTATGGTCTTTCATAGAGCAGCCGCCTGTGAATCAGTGCCTGCAACCCAGCCCAGCCCCGAGAGCTTGGACAGAAAAACAGCCCGGGCCTGGGTCATCCTGCTTTGCATCTGATGGTCATTGTCAGCTTGTGGGGAAGAATGGGGAGCTGGCTCACCAGGGGCCCTGCAGCCTCCCCATGGAATAATGGCCTCTCCCAGCAACCCCTCACATCTTCCATGCCTCTGCCTAGGAGGCAGAAGGGGCCAAGGTCCATTCTGCTGAGCCTGTGAGGACATGAGCCTCCTGGTAATCTCAGAAGAAAAATAAACTTCAGTCCTAGCAGAGGCCCTGGGGAAAGGCTGCAAGCTGGTGGAAAATACCCAGAGGTGATGTGTCCTCTGTGGAGCTGGCTAGGCACTCAGAGGCAATAAACGGTGCTTATCTGCTTGTCTGTTCTCCGTTCTGCCTCGCTCTGCTTAGAGGACACTAGGGCTGGGCTAGGGGCTGGCAGTGGCGGGAATCCATAGGCCTCCCCTGACTCTACCTCTCCATGCCACTGGATACTGCCCTGGAACCCAGTGGGAAACAGGATCTCTCTCCCCACAGGCACCCAGAGTGCAGGGAAGCCTCCCTCACAACCCAGGGTCAGAGAGCGCCTCCCTATCACAGCTCAGCCTTCGCAACCCAGGGTCAGAGAACGCCTCCCTATCACAACTCCTTGAGCTGTGTGTTTAGTTTAAAATCTTCATGAGCGCTACGTGACTCTGAACGTTTAATCTCCACTTTGGAAAACATAAATAACAGCTGAGGAATAACGAGCTTTGAAAGCACCACAGAAGAGTCAGGTTCCTGCCCTGGGTCCAGCCATCAGGGAGGGGACAGCAGCAGAGAAGGGGCGCCCCAGCCCCTCCCATCCTGCGAACAGACGCCCACCCAGCTGGACTGTGGGGCCATGGCCACCTTTGGCAGAGCTGGCTGGGCCCCGGCAGCAGGATAAGGGATTTCCTTTCCTCACCCCACATCCCACCATGCAGGCTAGGGGCCCTGAAACCCTGGAATCTGCCACTTTCCAGGCCATGACGGAACCGTGTTTGGGGAGGGCAGAGAAGGAGGTGGGCTGGAGCCTCTTTCACCTGGCAGCCACCAGGAAAGAGGGCAGTTCATCCCAAGGCCCCGTATGGGTGTGTGGGAGAAACAAAGGGGCTGGGTGAGGGGCCGAGGGGCTGGGTGAGGGGCCGGTCTGAGGGAGTGCAGCCGCCACTCCCAGATGTGTCCCTCAGGAAAGAGCTCTGCTCAGCTAAACCCGGGAGCACTTCCGCTGGCCCCAGACCTGCTCCAGATGGGGGTGAGGGCAAGAGCAACGGGAAGCTATGGCCCCCTCAGGCACTGCCAGGGCTGGGTGGTCCCCCAGGGCTCGAGTGGGTCCTCAGCTCTCTCACCAGCCTTGTGGGTGAGCCTCCCACCTGCCTGCCTACCGCCTGGGATGGGGGATACCCAAGAAGGGACATGCTTCATCCTGAGAGCAAGTTTCTGTGGAGGGCATTGGGGAGGGTCCACAGGGCTGGGCAGAGCCATTGGAGACCAGCCCAAGTCCATAGGTGTCCTCTCCATGGTCCCTGGCAGGGCACACAGACAGCCTGCCACAAGGGACACCCTGCTTATGCCCACTCAGCCACGGAGCTATTGGGAGAACTTGGTTCTGCCACTCTCAGACACGAGGAGTGTCTGAGGCTTGGGGCGACCCCCAGGGCCTCTCTGAGCCTCAGGTCCTGCACCTGTAAAACATGGAGTACAGCGCCTTCCTACTCACAGCCCACGGTCAGGACGGAACGACAGAAAATGCCCCGCACTGTTACCCTGAATAGTAACAATCAATGCCCACGGCTGGCCATGCTGTCTCTTGCTCTGGAGGGGGTGACATTTTCAGATTTTGAGAGCTGGAATGCAGAGCTCACTGCGCTTCTCCTGGTCAGAATGCAGGCTCCCTGACTGACGAGTGTGACAGGAGAGGGGACCTAACGAATCTACACTTCCAGACTTCCTCGTCTGGGTGGTATGTACACCCATTTCTCCTCCCTGGAGTAAGAGAACAGGTCCCTTTTCCAATCTTGCAAAAAGAAGAAACCATCGACATCGCATAGTCTAAGGCTCCCATTTTACAGATGAGGAAACTGAGCATCTACAGTAGCTGTGGCCTGACCTACACCAAAAGCATTGAAAAGGGCATGGAATGGAGATAGGGGATGGGTCCTCCCCCAAATCCCAAGGTGAAGAATATTGTGCCAGTTCCAGAGACACAGCAAGGGAGGCATCAGTGAAGTCAAGGGCAGCTGCCTCCTTGACCTGCTCAGGGGTCTAGGGGCCTGAGCCTTAGGTGTCAGAGGATGGCCAGGCCAAGGAGAGGCTGGCTGCCACGCAGGCAGGCCAGCAGAGGGTGTTCCCAGCACGCAGATGGCTATCACGCGTGTGCGTGTGCATGTCCCTACACGCCCCCTCTCCCACAGCACATGGGAAGCCTCAGAGGTGGTGTGTGGCCGCTCTGCACGTCTTAGTGAGGCAGGAAGGGAGGAGCGAGGCAGGGGGCCTGGCATGGGCCTCCTGCCTTCTGCACGTATGTCTCTTTGGCAAACGTCTCGTTGCACTTTGAAGATTCCTCTTGATGCAACTAGGGCAGGGAGTGGAGGGGCCAGGGAGGGCGCGACTCATGTTCTGTCTGTTTATAATCAATGAAAAGGCATGGTCAGATCCCAGCAGTTCCACCAGGGCTGGGCTGCTGGAAAGGGTCCCTCCTGTGTCCCTGATCCTCTTGACTGCCCACTGCATCCAGCTCCCAGATCCCATTCTGGCCTCTGGCACACACTGCCCACCCTGTCCTCCAAGACCCCGTCCATACACTGAAATCATGCTGGGGAAGGGCTCTGAGCCCGCTGGATGAACGTTGGCTACCCTGGCCCCAGGCCCACTCTGTATGCTGGTGACCCCAGCCCCTACCTCTCCAGTCTCTGGGCCAATGTTATCGGCCAGGATGTCTAGCTTGTAAGCTCTCCTCAACTTTTATCAACCTGCACCCACACTTCATGCCACACCTGGCTTTAGAGGAAGGAAGAGAGAGGCTTGGGGAGCACGCATACCCCCAGTCTGGCCAGCTTACCTTCCACCTCTGACGAGCCATTCCCAGCAGACAAGGCCCATTGCTGTGGACAGAAAGGTGCAGAGATGAGCCGGGAACACCTTGGGGCTCTGCACTCTTGAGCCAAGTGTGATGGCAAGAAGCTTGGGGCCTCTTTGTGTTCCTTCCCACTGGCCACACATGCTCCGCCCTGTCTCAGGGCAGCTTGAGTACAACTAAAAACCCACTGAGCCCTGGGTAGGTAAGGTCCCACCCCTCTCTAGCCTCAGTTTTCCTCATTTGGGAAAGAATGCAGGCTAGAAGCTTTTAGAGACCCTTGGTCTGTTGTGTCCTCAAGATCTTCCAATCCCGTGGGTCTCCCTCCTACCCAGCTTCCAGACCAACCCTGCTGGGCCCTGCACTGCCCACCTTGGCTGGGTGCCAGAGCCCAGGGGGAGGTGATCAGCTGGTGGGAGCTGAGGGGCTGGAGCGGGTGGCGCCATGAGCTGGTGCAGCCAGCCGGTAATGTTACACCTCTGGCCAGCCCTGCAGCAGGCAGTCGGGCGGCTGGGCTGCTCAGGCTCCTCAGGGACTGCCCAGCCCACTCCTACTCTTGGGCTGAGGCTGGGGACTCCCAGGACAGCCGGACAACGCAGTGGGAAGGGAGCTCATTGCCTTTGTCAGGATTTCGCTGCCCAAGCTGGCTCCCAGCCAGACTCACCCGGCTCCTGGGAAAAGGGCCCTGCTCACTTCCCCAGGCCCTGCACTCAGGACCTCCGGCCACCCACCCAGGAGAGAAGACACAGCGGGACCCCTTGTCTCATCCCTGGCCCACCCAGGAGCCCACAGCTCAGTCCTGAGCCCTGCTAGGGGGAGGGCCCAGCCACTCCACCATCAGCCTCTTCAGCCGGTTCCCCCACCGCCCCCACCAGGCCAGGTCAGAGGTCCTGGGGACGCCTGGCTGGCCATGGGGCCTCGACCCTGACCACAAGGCCAGGGACCCGCCTGGGATTAGTGGACAGATGCTTTTAGCAAAGCTACCAGGACTCCAGAGGCCAGACAGGAAACCTCCCTCCCTCCCTGTGGCTTCCCTGCCCCCACCAAGACAGCCCCCAGGACCTGGGGGACAGCCAGCCTGAGATCTCTTCCCAAAGGAAAGAAGTGCAGTCTGGCCTTTAGGAAGTGTGTGGACATCCTTGGAGTTGCTGCTCCCTGGAGAGGGTCTGTGATTTCAGAGTCCCCTTGCAGTGCTGGGGTGGGGAGATCAGGGGAGCCGGGCTACGTGAGGGTAGCTCTTACCTGGGGGGGCACAGCAGGCAGCGCCAGCCCGGCCAGGAGCTGCAGGAAGCAAGGGAATAGCCTCATGGCCGGCATCTTCTCAGACGTCCCGAGCCAGAGGGCTCCGAGGGAAAACCACCACGCTCATCCCCCGGGGAGCCCCTGGCACAGGACGAGAAGAGCTGAGTAGGGAGCTGGATGCTCCCCTCACTGCTGCCCCGAGGCCCCGGCCGGTGGTTCCAGCATCTTCTGGAAGCCGGGGAGAGTCGGGTGCCCGCAGGTAAGGCTGTGGCTGCGGAACCCGACGGGGAGCGGCCCGGCGGGGCGGGGCGCCAAGGGGCAGGCGGGTCCCGGGGAGGGTCCGTTGAGCGCCCAGTGCCACCCCAGGTCCTCCCGTGGCTGGGCGGCCGTCCGAAGATGCGGTTTCCTCCGCAGACAGCAGCTCTCTTCTGGGACTGCAGCCGGTCCGCGCCTGGGTTTCAGGGGCTGAGCCGGGGCGGGGCTCTGGGCCGGCCCCGCCCACCGCAGACGAGGTTCGCTAGCCGAGTTCCCGGAGCGCCCGGCCCGCCGGCTGCGCGGGAGCCCGCAGTGCGTGAAGGGCGCTGGCCGGGTCCGGACGCCTCGCCGAGCCCAGCTCGCAGCTCCCCGGTATGCGCTGCGCCCGCCCACTGGGCCCACAGCCCCGCTCCGGCTCTGGGGGCCGCCACCTGGGTTGGAGGCATCCAGGTGTGGAGTCCAGCGCCAGCCGTCAAGGCTCATGATCTAGCAGCCTCTGCAGGAAGGGCAGTCCCGGATCCCTGGGAAGGCAGCGGTGCCCACGCCCCTGAGGGCCAAGGGATTACCAGCCCCATTATATAGATGAAGAAACCGAGGGTCCGAGAGGGCCCCTGCCTGCATATATCTAATGGGCATAGGCATTCTTGGAAAGTGTGCGTGTGTTGTGTATCGTGTGTGTGTTGTGTGTGTACAAGGAACTGGCAGAGACAAAACCCAAGCCTACGTGACTCCAGAACCGTCTCTCACCCGACCCACCATCTTCCTAGCCAGGCACTGACACGGTGGGCCGCCCACGGGAAACCCCTCAGGGCACCTGGCTGGAGAATCAGGCCTGTTGCCTTCTTGGGAAACAGTCTTCTCAGGCCCTCCCCGCAGGGCCAGCCCCCTGGGGTGGAGAGTGGCCTCACCTAGGTATCTCCTCCTGGTCCCTGGCCAAGGAGGAAATGATTCGCTGCGCGGGGGTCCGTGTGCATCTGCGCATGTGCTTGGGCATTTGCGAGTCTGTGAATATCCACGTGTGCTGTGTGTCCGAGCCTCTGTGTGGTCTGAGTGCCTGTGTGTATACCACTCTGTGGGGGTCAGGTCTCTCCGTACCTCTGTATGCTTGTGTGATTGTACGTGTCCGCTGTGTGTCTGGGTGTGTCTGGAAGTGTCTAAATGTGTATCTTTCAGTAGCCTGTGAGTCTGCCTGCCTGCCTCTCTCTGCGTGTGTATGTCTGTCTCTATGTGTGAAGACTGTGCCTCTCTCTGTGCGTTTGTGTGTGCCTCCCTTAGTCTGGATCTTTCTTTACCACCACCCCTCTCACTGCCTTCTGTGTCCAGCTCCCAGGCTGCAGGAACCTGGCAGGATTGGGAGTCACGAGTTGGCTGGGCCTGGGGTTGGTGGGTGGCTGTGGGGGAGGAGGGAGGCCTGGGAAGTGGCCACTAGAGCTCACATTCCAGCCAGGAGCAGGGAGGCCAGGGCAGCCCCAGCTCTCACCCCAGTGACCTCTGCGTCCGCTGCCTGCCTGCCCACCCACGAGGGGCTGCCAGAGATGCGGCCTCCCTGCCTGGCGAGCCCTAAGCCTGGAGGTTCAGGAGGCAGGGGCCAGTCACCGGCTGGCTCCGCGGGGTCTGTAAGGAACATTCTGACGAGCTTCAACAAGCTGGGGTTCTTAGGGTAGACAAACTCCTTGCTGGGCCTAGGGTCATTGTGGAGGGTCACTGTGCATGTGCATGAGGGTGAGTAGGTGTGTATTCGTGCATATCTTTATCATATATGTTGCCCATAACATCTTTGTATACATTTGAATGTGTTCGTGTGTGTCTTCAGTTTGGGTATGGATTTGTGTAATGTGGGCACAGGTGTGTATTGTGCAGAAGTGTGTGTTTGTGTGCTTAAGTATCTGCATTGTATATGCTTATCTATAACTGAGTTTTTCTAGCACTTATGCATGGGATGTGTATATTGCAAATATGTTTGTATTCTTTTTTTTTTCCTGAGACAGTCTTGCTCTGTTGCCCAGGCTGGAGGACAGTGATGCAATCTCAGCTCACTGCAACATCTGCCTCTTGGGTTCAAGTGATTCTTGTGCCTCAACCTCCCAAGTAGCTGGGATTACAGGTGTATGCCACCATGCCTGGCCACGTTTTGTATTTTTAGTAAAGACACGGTTTTGTCATGTTGGCCAGACTGGTCACAAACTCCTGGCTTCAAGTGATCCACCCACTTCAGCCTCCCAAAGTGCTGGGATTACAGGTGTGAGCCACCGTGCCTGGCTTGTATTCATTGATTTGTTTTTTCATTCAGCACATATTGCCTGAGCCCTTCTCTGCTCCAGGCACTGCTCTAGGTGCTAGGGATATGATACGTTCATGGAGTAGGGACATACCCATGGCTGGGGATGCTGAAGCTCTCTTTCCTGAGTGAACACAACACATTGGGCAACATCTGTGGTTCCCACAAGTGCACCTCAGTCTTTTGTCCCTAAACTGGGACCATACCCTTCTAAACCCAGCTTCCTGGGTTGTAAGATGAATTAGCTGAGGGCAAGGTTGGTAGCAAAGGCCAAGAAGTCTCCACCATTTCCATGGATTGAATCACAGTTTGTTCTTGCTCACACCCAGTCCAGAGCAGGTGTGCTAGTAGTTCTGCTCCCTTGGTTGTTTTTTTTTTTTTTTTTTTTAATTTTTAGAGACAAGATCTTGCTGTCTCTTCCAGGCTACAGTGCAGTGGTATGATCACAGCTCACTGTAGCCTCTAACTCCTAGGCAAGGGATCCTCCTGCCTCAGCCTCCAGAATAACTGGGACTACAACTGCGTGCCACCACGCCCAGTTAATTTAAAAACTTTTTTCTGACCAGGTGCAGTGGCTCATGCCTGTAATCCCAGCACTTTGGGAAGCCAAGGCGGGCACATCATGAGGTCAGAAGATTGAGACCATCCTGGCCAACATGGTGAAACCCTGTCTGTACTAAAAATACAAACATTAGCCAGCTGTGGTGGTGTATACCTGTAATCCCAGCTGCTGGGGAGGCTGAGGCAGGAGAATCGCTTGAACCCAGGAGGCAGAGGTTGCAGTGAGCTGAGATTGTGTCACCACATTCCAACCTGGTGACAGAGCAAGACTCTGTCTCAAAAAGAAAAGAAGAAAGTTTATATTGAAGTGTAGTTGGCTTTAGAACTAGCTATTGCTGCAATTGAAAAAGCTTTTTTTTTTTTTTTGGTAAAGATTGGGTCTTGCCATCTTGCCCAGGCTATGCTACCTTGTACGGTGACCTCACTATTGACCAGCCACATTGCCTCAAGCAGCTTGCTTTGCTTTCAGAGCCCCGGCTTCCTCCATCTGTAAGAGTGGAAATGACAACCGCACTTACCCCACAGGCTTGTGCGAGGACTGAGAAAGCATCTGTGGTGCAAGACACGGTAGCAGTTGGGCATGATTTCTAATTTAATTTTTGACTTGTGTTAGACAAATAAAAATTCTACATCTAGGCCAGGCAAAGTTGCTTGCGCCTGTAATCCCAGCACTTTGGGAGGCTGGGCTGGACAGATCACCTGAGGTTGGGAGTTCGAGACCATCCTGGCCAACATGGTGAAACCCCGCCTTTACTAAAAATACAAAATCAGCCAGGTGTGGTGGTGGGCGCCTGTAATCACAGCTACTTGGAAGGCTGAGGCAGGAGAATTGCTTGAACTCAGGAGGCAGAGATTGCAGTGAGCTGAGATAGTGCCTCTGCACTCCAGTCTGGGAGACAGAGCGAGATTCCGTCTCGAAAAGAAAAAAAAAGAAAAAACTAAGTTACAGAGCTGAGTTCTGTAGCATGGACATGAGATAGAAAATAAAGAATCTTATGCTTCTGCCCATGGCAGTGGAGAAAGGAAATGGAGCGATCTGCATAGGCGCACACAACACTAATTCTCACCATCACAGTGCAAGCACTCAGTCCTCAACCGTCAGTGAAGCCCTTGAAGTAGAGCCAGGTGCTAAGGGGGTGGCAGAATCAGTGCCCACAACTCAACACTTCACTATTTATCACCACAGTCCTTGCCATTGTTTCAGGAAGAGAAGTAAAATTTATTGAACCCCTATTATGTGCCAAACAGCGTGCCTGGTGCTCTAACTACCTTGACTCATTGAATTCTGATCCCAGCCCTATAGTGATAGGTTTTCATGATTTCCATTTTGAAGATGAAAAGATGGAGCCCCAGGGAGTTTATGTAATTTTCCAATAATCACGTCATTAACTACTAAAAAAGGAACAGTGATGGGGATCAAGCCAAGATCTTTCCCCAAAGGTCTTTCCAGTGAACCTGAGCTGTAGCTCCCAACCTGACTGTAAGGAGGTTGAAGGTAGGGCTGATGTCTTGAGCCATTTCTGGGTCTTCCCCATGCTGGAACAGAATGGATGCTCGATACACTTGCGACGGTTGATGTGTGGGAGGAAGAAGCCCTGATCCTAGGAGCTGACATGAGGGGCTGGCTGTAGAAACACGGGGCCACGGCAATGCAGCGGACCCTGAGCAGTCATGGCTTCCAGTCTGCAGGCCAGCCCCTGGCCCCCAAGGCATCCTGCAAACACAGTGTCCCGTATCTTCTATTAGTCATGGTCTTAGCCTGAAACACCTGCTGCAACCATCCCAGCTTCTGGCCTTTCAGCTTCCTGACTCATTTTCCCATTTTCTAGCCAATTTCCGAGCTTCTAGCCTCTTTGTTGTCTTGGTTCTCTGAACTTTTCCCAAGCCCAACCATCCTCTCTTAAGGATGACCTGTTCTCTCTTAAGGACAATTCAGCACCTGCGTCTGGAGAGGTGTCTCAAGTGGTCCTGGGTAAACACTGTCTTCTTCTGACTCTGTTCCTGAGCCCTGGACTTCGGTGGCTGAGAGGTGGAGCATCTAAGGATTAAAATCTTCCCCTTCCTGGCTGGCGGAGAGGGGTAACAGTGGGCAGCTCTGGGCCAAGGGCCTTTTCACTTTATAGACAGAACCTGCATTATAGCCAGCAGCTACTCAAAGTTACCAGCAAGCAGATGCTTGGTTGGCCTCCTCTGCCTTCTTCCCCTGCCTCCTGGGCTGCGATTTCCTGTGGACCCACCCCAGCCTCCATTCTGAGCTCTTCGTCTCTCCATGCACTTATTCTAGGCAGGACTCCGTGGCTTCCCTGGCCACCAGCACTGGGTAAGACATGCCTCATCCAGGTTCCCACAGTACCTTGAATGCCCCTCCATCATGGCACCTGGCCTTCAGTATCATAATTGCCCAGTTGCTTATCTGTCTTGCGTAAAAGATGACAAGATCTAAGAGGGCAGGTACTGTGTCTCTTGTTTACCCTGTAGCC